GTAATGCCATTTTCTTTCGATTATGGAGGCTGCTGATCAAGGAATAAAGCCGAGGCTATTCTCCACTGATAATGAAGTCTAGTGATACTATTCTCCACGGGTGATAAGTCCATTAAGCACTGTTTTGGTCCAATATATTTTCAGATGGCATTTTCGTGATTTTTGGGGAGACGAAAGACCATTTTCTGTGGATTTTGAAGGCTACAGATCACGGATTCGGCTTGATGCTATTCTTCAACGATGATTAAGTTTATTAAGCACCGATTAGGACGGATTTATTCCGTGTCTATTTTTGGCAGATTCCATAAGGGTACCATCACAGATTTCGAGCGATTTTTTCGAAATGCCATTTTCTTTCGATTCTGGAGGTTGCAAATCATGGAATCAAGCCGAGGCAATTCTCCACCGATAATGAAGTCTTGTGATACTATTCTCCACAAATGATAAGTCCATTAAGCACCAATTTGGACCAATTTATTTTCATATGACATTTTCGTAATTTTTTGGGCGACGAAATGCCATTTTCTTTGGATTTTGAAGGCTACAGATCACGGATTCGGCCTGGGACTATTCTCCAACGACGATAAAGTCCATTAAGAACCTATTTGTGCGGATTTATTCTGGGTCAATTTTTGGCAGATTCCATAGGGGTACCATCACAGATTTCGGGCGATTTTTCGAAATCTCATTTTCTTTCGATTCTGGAGGTTGCAGATCATGGAATTAAGCCGAGGCTATTCTCCACCGATAATGAAGTCTTGTGATACTATTCTCCATAAATGATAAGTCCATTAAGCACCGATTTGGACCAATTTATTTTCGGATGACATTTTCGTAATTTTTTGGGCGACGAAAGGCCATTTTCTTTGGATTTTGAAGGCTACAGATCACGGGTTTGGCTTGAGGCTATTCTTCAACCATGATTAAGTCCATTAAGCACCGATTTGGACGGATTTATTCCGGGTCAATTTTTTGCAGATTCCAAAGGGGTACCATCATAGATTTCGTGTGATTTTTTTGAAATGCAATTTTCTTTCGATTCTGGAGGCTGCAAATTATGGAATCAAGACGAGGCTATTCTCCACCGATAATGAAGTTTAGTGATACTATTCTCCACGGGTGATAAGACCATTAAGCACTGTTTTTGGCCAATTTATTTTAGGATGACATTTTCGTAATTTTTTGGGCAACGAAAGACCATTTTCTCTGGATTATTAAGGCTACAGATCACGGATTCGGCCTGAGACTATTCTCCAACGATGATTAAGTCCATTAAGCTCCGATTTGTGCGAATTTATTCCGGGTCAATTTTTGGCAGATTCCATTGGGGTACCATCACAGATTTCGTGCGATTTTTTCGAAATGTCATTTTCTTTCGATTCTGGAGGCTGCAGATCATTGAATCAAGCCGAGGCTATTCTCCACCGATAATGAAGTCTAGTTATACTATTCTCCACGGGTGATAAGACCATTAAGCACTATTTTGGGCCAATTTATTTTCGGATGACATTTTCGTAATTGTTCGGGCGACGAAAACCCATTTTCTTTTGATTTTGAAGGCTACAGAACACGAATTCGGCCCTGAGACTATTCTTCAACGATGATTAAGTCCAGTAAGCACTAATTTGTGCGGATTTATTCCGGGTCAATTTTTGGCAGATTCCATAGGGGTACCATCACAGATTTCGGGCGATTTTTTTGAAATGTCATTTTCTTTCGATTCTGGAGGCTGAAGATCATGGAATCAAGCCGAGGCTGTTCTCCACCGATAATGAAGTCTTGTGATACTATTCTCCACCGGTGATAAGTCCATTAAGCACCGATTTGTGCCAATTTATTTTCGGATGGCATTTTCGTAATTTTTGGGAAGACGAAAGACCATTTTCTTTGGATTTTGAAGGCTACTGATCACGGATTCGGCTTGAGGCTATTCCTCAACGATGATTAAGTCCATTAAGCACCGATTTGGGCGGACTTATTCCGGGTCAATTTTTGGCAGATTCCATAGGGGTACCATTACAGATTTCGGGCGATTTTTTCGAAATGCCATTTTCTTTCGATTCTGGAGGCTGCAGATCATGGAATAAAGCCGAGGCTATTCTCCGCTGATAATGAAGTTTAGTGATACTATTATCCACGGGTGATAAGTCCATTAAGCACTGTTTTGGTCCAATATATTTTCGGATGGCATTTTCATAATTTTTGGGGAGACGAAAGACCATTTTCTGTGGATATTGAAGGCTGCAGATCACGGATTCGGCTTGCGGCTATTCTTCAATGATGATTAAGTCCATTAAGCAACGTTAAGGGCGGATTTATTCCGTGTCTATTTTTGGCAGATTCCATAGGGGTACCATCACAGATTTCGGACGATATTTTCGAAATGCCATTTTCTTTCGATTCTGGAGGCTGCAGATCATGGAATCAAGCCGAGGCTATTCTCCACCGATAATGAAGTCTTGTGATACTATTCTCCACAAATGATAAGTCCATTAAGCACCGATTTGGACCAATTTATTTTCGGATGACATTTTCGTAATTTTTGGGAGACGAAAGTCCATTTTCTTTGGATTTTGAAGGCTACAGATTACGGATTCGGCCTGAGACTATTCTCCAACGACGATTAAGTCCATTAAGAACCGATTTGTGCGGATTTATTCTGGGTCAATTTTTGGCAGATTCCATAGGGGTACCATCACAGATTTCGGGCGATTTTTTCGAAATGCCATTTTCTTTCGATTTTGGAGGGTGCAGATCATGGAATCAAGCCGAAGCTATTCTCCACCGATAATGAAGTCTAGTGATACTATTCTCCACAGGTGATAAGTCCATTAAGTACAGATTTGTGGCAATTTATTTTCGGATGACATTTTCGTAATTTTTTGGGCGACGAAAGGCCATTTTCTTTGGATTTTGAAGGCTACAGATCACGGATTCGGCCTGAGGCTATTCTTCAACGATGATTAAGTCCATTAAGCACTCATTTGGGCGGATTTATTCCGAGTCAATTTTTGGCAGATTTCATAGGGGTGCCATCACAGATTCCAGGCGATTTTTTCGAAATGCCATTTTCTTTCGATTCTCGAGGCTGCAGATCATGTAATCAAGCCGAGGGTGTTCTCCACCGATAATGAAGTCTTGTGATAACTATTCTCCACAAATGATAAGTCCATTAAGCACCGATTTGGACCAATTTATTTTCGGATGACATTTTCGTACTTTTTTGGGTGACGAAAGTCCATTTTCTTTGGATTTTGAAGGCTACAGATCACGGATTCGGCCTGAGGCTATTCTTCAACGATGATTAAGTCCATTAAGCACTTATTTGTGCGGATTTATTCTGGGTCAATTTTTGGCAGATTCCATAGTGGTACCATCACAGATTTCGGGCGATTTTTTCGAAATCCCATTTTCTTTCGATTCTGGAGGTTGCAAATCATGGCATAAGGGCAAGGCTATTCTCCACCGATAATGAAGTCTAGTGATACTATTCTCCATGGGTGATAAGTCCATTAAGCACTGTTTTGGGCCAATTTATTTTTGGATGGCATTTTCGTAATTTTTTGGTCGACGAAAGGCCATTTCTTTGGATTCTGAAGGCTACAAATCACGGATTCGGCTTGAGGCTATTCTTCAACGATGATTAAGTCCATTAAGCACCAATTTAGGCTGATTTATTCCGGGTCAATTTTTGGCAGATTCCAAAGGGGTACCATCATACGTGAACCAGAACTACGGTCCATCATCAAACCATATGAATTGTTTCCAGCCCACAACTGCAGTGATTAAACTAGTGCTTACTGCTTAGATCCTCAATTCTTTGGGCGTTTGCAGTATATATATATATATAACGTCATTATGAAAGAAGCTACAGCTACCTCTAGTCTAGTTTCCCCTCCTTCAATTGCTGCTACCTAAGTTAAGCTGATCAAGTACTGATGATCCATTTGGTGGGTGTCCTGCAGAAGTTCAATGTTACGTTTCTCTACATATTGGCAGCTGTTTAATGTTATGTTTCAGAAGTCAGAACGATGGCTGATGAGGCCTGCAGTATTTTCGTCAAATGCACATGAAAATGCTCCCGGAACTTCAACATATGACATAACAAACAAACAAAAAAAACCCTCATAAACTAGCACATTCCGAATGGGGTTAAGGTTTCAAGTATGGACCGTTTTCATTATAAAAAAAAAAAGTATGAACCGTTTCATTTGATCAACATGCATTCAAACAAACTCAGAAAGAAACTATCACAGGGAAAGATAGAAAAACTATGGGCTATCTTTGTTTTCGTGGGGGTTACAAACCGTCGCATGAAACATCAAACGCAACTAACAAAACAACTGTTGCAAATTAAGGCCTAAAGCTGAAACAAGGCTGAAAACGTACAAACACGTGAGTGTCGCGTGCCGCAGGTCTCCGGACCAGCTGCCGGCGTTTCCACAATTTCTTCTGCCACTCTGCCTTTTCCCTTCCCCGCAAAAAAAAAAAAAAAAAAAACTTCCAACTTTACCTATTACACTTCTTTCTCTTTCAATTCGTGACTCACCCTAAGATTTGAACCCATATAACTTTACTCATAATATATACTAGTACGAAGTACGAATTTCACTCTCGTATGAAATATGTCGAATATTTGATCGCGACTTGCTGGTTTGTATCAATATTAAAATCTATTATACGAGGATCATAAACTCACGGATTGTACACTCTAAGATCAAGCATTCTTTGTTCTCTTCAAAATCTCTGGTAGAATTTACATTTCCCGGACTGGAAAACGCAAAAACCAAACCCTCCCCCAAGAAACCACAAATAAGAAGTTGAACCAGTAATGTAAAACAGTAAAATTGCTATCTATAGATCATATACAAACAAAACAGAGTCCCATCTCTCTATCATGAGAAAGAAAAAACAGAGCACTCTGCCCCAAAAATTTTCTTCCTTCCTCAACACACCCAGCAGCAGAGGAAGAAGAGGAAATGAGAAGTTAAACCACCGAATCAATGCGGCGCTATCGTTTCCTCCTCATCCGTCGCTGCCGCCGTTGCAGCTGCCACCGACGACGACGAAGAAGAAGAAGATTCACCGGCGTCACGCGAAATTCCCCTGTCGTTTCCAACATGTTCTTCTTCACCATCACTCCCCTGTTTCCCACCTTCCAATTTCCCTTCTTTCTCGCCGCACGAGCAAGCCTTCTCGCCGACGCCGAAAGACAACGACCGGCTGGAGACTTGAGTGGCGAGGTAAGTGGGATTCACCTGTCCGGCCATGATAACCAAGAACTTCTCGTCGTACTCCTTGGCCTTCTTCTCCTCACCTTCGCCCCCTTCCTTCCCGCTGCCTTCCCCTGCCTCCAGATCTCTCTCGCCGTCGTTTTCCAAGTACCCGGAAAGCTTCCAGTAGGAGCAGGCGAGGATCAAGAGCGCGAAAGCTATCAGTCCGAGCATGGCGGCCAATCCGCCGAACAAGTAAGGAACTGGGGAATGCCAGGGGGAGCGTTCTGCTGCTGCTGCCATGCCGGCGGTGGTTTCATCGGAAGTTGTTGGCCGGGGCGTCATGTTGAAGGGTTCCCTTCCGGCGGCCATTTGTTGTGGGGGGGTTGATTTTGATTAGTGGGTTCTTCGTTTTTTAGGAGGAATTGGAGGTTTGGCGGGGAAATGGAGATGGTGTTGGGGAGGAAGAAGATGGGGAGAGAGTATTTATAGAGATAAGGAGAAGTGGGGATTAGTAAAGGTGGTGGCTTTGCCTCTGTTGTTCTGTATATTTTGTGTGTGATTTGATTTGGTTTTTTGGAAGGGGAATTATGTCGTCATGGTGGTTTTGCTTTAGAAGCTGGGACTTGGGAGGGAGATGGAGATGGAGATGGAGATGGAGGAGATGGAGATGGAGATGGAGCCATTATCTTTCTTTTTGGGGTTGCAAGTAAAGGGCATTATACAAGGGTGGGCAAGGATTCTTTGGTAGTGCATGAAACTTGCATTTGAATTGAATCACATCAAAAGCAATGATTCTATTATGTTTCAATTTGTCAAATTTTGTGTTCTAACAACAAGAAAACAAGAAAAAAGTATGAACAAAATCGAAATCGGACCGTTTGGATCATACTAAAACGAACTAGTCTTTTGATTCCATGTCACACCCTTCTACGTGAGAGTCTATATGATTTAGTTCAGTTCTCCCTGAACAAGTACTATTTTGTTTTACTTCATATTCGAGGATCGATATATGAACAAGAGTTTATCGAATTTTGCTTGAGTTGGGCATGATTCAATGCATGTGTGATATGCATGATGGCTGCTCTTTGCTTGCCTTGTTGCTTAACCATGAGAAATTTTGGGGTGTTTTGATCATGGTCAATTGGTCATGGATAATATTTCATGACCAAGCTAAGCAGTCAAAAGGATTAGTTATTGGTATTAACTGTTGGTATACCTAATTAATGTTACACCACTAATAAACATCATAATGTCTAGAGGCATTTAATTTCCTTGTTAAGTGCATGTAGCATTGCACCACTCTATCTGTTTGCACCAATCCAAAGTCAAACAAGAAACTTCACTTGAAAATATAACAAACTTCATTGCAAAACTCAAAGATGGTACATATATGGTTTAAAAAGAAGAGAAAGGTAACCCACATTGATCACGAGTCTCATAAATCTGATTGACATATTTGTAGATAATGTGTAGTTTTGAGTCTTGTTGCTCGCAACTCTTTTATTTTTTTTCATTTCAAACAAACTTTTGAACCAATCGAAATGTCTTTCAAAAATTTAAAAAATTTTGAACGAAATATCCTTAAACTTACAAGAAAGCTAATACTTACAGGAATAAAGAATTACTTATGTGGAACAATAATTCTTTCTCCTCTTCCTCCAAACTAATCAAATTTTCCTAGGGTTAATTGCAAGGACGGTCACTGAGTTTACTAAAACTGTTCATGTTTGGTCACTGCAAATATTTAATTCTATTCATGGTCACTAAGATTAATTCAATAGTTCAAGTTTAGTCATTCTCCGTTAGTCTCCGTTAGTTTTTGCTGATGTGGCAGTCAACTATTATAGTTGACCGTTAAATGAGTGACGTAGCCATTAAAAAAATAATAAAATAATAAAATTTAAATATTTACAATTTTCACCTTATTTTACAACTATTAAAAAATAAAAATAAAATTTACCTCCGTCATCTACACCACCGTGGCCATGACGCGATCATCTCCGCCACCGCTCCTTCCTCAATGCCGGCCTCGCTTTGCTTCATCCCAAGTTGGAGCCCGGCCTTGTTTGGGTGGGTAAAACTCCAACCAAACAAAAACGGAAGGCCCAAGGGGAAAAAAAATGAACCTCACCAAACGACGACGAGTGTCCATCGTCGCAAATAGCTTTTTTTTAGCAACCATTAAGGATTAGTCACTGGAAATGGTTATTTTATCGAGCACCGCCAAATTAGTTACTGAAAAATCTCGAAGAAACTACTACGCTGAATTATTTGGAACCAACAACAACAAAAAAAAATCCACCACAAACACTAACTATATAGCTACCTGAGCTACGTTGTCGTCACTAATAAACAACATCCACGGGCACAAACAACAGCTGCCACGGCCTCTCTCCCGCCAGAGGCACAAACACAAACGTCTGGTACGTTTCCTCACTGTGCGCATGGCTGGATCCGGTCAGGTAAATATGGTACACGACGCCAGCTCCGGCGGCGAAAACCTCGCCGCCGTCCACCCTCACCAGCTTCAAGGGAAGCTCCCCGGGGTGTTCGTTGTTGTACGTCGTCACCGCGAAGCGCGCTGCGTCAAGGAAGCCCTTCACCGGCAGCCAGTTGTGTTCGGACATCACCGTCGACATCGGGTAGACATCGTCAGGAGTGGCGGCCGGCCTTGACGACTCTGCTGTCCCGTCCCGACGGCGAGTACGAGTGCCAGTAGAAGAGCCGTTGCTAAATGTGGTGATATTTAATTCCACCTCAAAATGAAGTGGGATGAAGCAAAGCGAGGCCCGCGTTGAGGAAGGAGCGGTGGCGGAGACGATCGCGTCATGGCCACGATGGCGTAGATGGCGGAGGTAAGTTTTATTTTTATTTTTTAATAGTTGTAAAATTATATGGAAATTGTAAATATTTAAATTTTATTATTTTATTATTTTTATAATGGCCACGTCACTCATTTAACGGTCAACTATAATAGTTGACTGCCACATCAGCAAAAATTAACGGAGACTAACGGAGAGTGACCAAACTTGAACTATTGAACTAATCTTAGTGACCATGAATGGAATTAAATATTTGCAGTGACCAAACATGAACGGTTTTAGTAAACCCAGTGACCATCCTTGCAATTAACCCAATTTTCCTAGGATCACACCCACTAGCTAATCAAAGAATTTTATTCGTTATAGACTGAAAACCCATGGGAAGGAAGCAATCAATTGCTTGCTTTCAAGAGTATAAAGCTTCCCACAAATACTTCCCATCATTTGGTGTCTATGGCCTTCATCTCTCCCTATAGTCTCCCCCTTTCCATACCATTTTCTTTTCTTTGCTTCTCTCCATAGAGTCCAAAAATAGTTGGATGGACAATTAGACCCGAAAATCTAAAACTTTGGGTCAATTAAGTTCCCCCCCTAAAGGCTGAATAATGTTATCTGAGGCTTAAGCTTGAAAGTTCAGATTTGAATTGGATTCAGCCCTTTGTAAACACACCACACCCTATTAGTCTTGTTAAAAATGACTTGAATGAATTAACATTTTTGTCCAATACCAAAAAAACAAAACAAATCACTAGTGGCTGGCCTGTCCATTATAGTCAATTTTCATCACACTAATGCATATCACAAAGAACTTAAAATCTGACTGAGGAGTCCGATGTCTTTGGTTTGGTGCACCTAAACTAGGGTGCTTTCATCAAATCCCTAAACTAGGGTGCTTTCGTCAAGAATAAGGTAATAGTAATAACTCACGTTATTATAAAATAAAAATCAATTCATAAATTTAAAGATTGCACAAACTCTTCATACTTTATTGTATTAAAAATCATATGGCAGACTGGCAGTAGCCCTCGTCAGTCCTCACCATCGTTCATCCACCAACATATATAATACAAAATAGAGAAATTGCATATATAGTTATAAAAAATTCTGCTGTAACGCAACCAGTTTTCTATTATTATTGTTATTATAAATTCATTCTGTTGTCTTTTTCTTCAAAAATATTTCATTGTCTTGTTTCTGTCTTGTAAAATAGTTTTGGTTGAAAATTGAAATGGGAAGAGGAAGAATGGACTCTTCTGGTCAAGTGGTCTTCAGGAGTAGCAGCTTTATCTTTTTTACTTGGGACCTTTGTTGGATGGATGACTCGACTGCTTTAATTAACATGTGAACTTAACACCATACTATCGTTAGGTCGAATGTGCATGGTTGATGTATAATTATCTTACTAATGTGCCCACTTACAAAAGAGAATGCTAGCTAGGTTGTTAGATCATTCAACATCAGTTGTAGCTAGAAAGAGTTATCTAGAGACTTAAGAGTGTCATACTCATTCATTCCAAAACAACTTTCATTTTAAATTTAGCCAGTCATAAAAAAGGAGAATGTCGATCTTGTCACGTGTAACTAGGGTAAGAATTTGATCGTGATCTGGGTTTCCTTATCTTGGGGATCACTCGTGGATCTATAGAAGGTTTTCCCTAAATGAGCCTATGTTGTACGTGTTTAAGTAAACTGAACATACTCGACATTATTCCAACAGCTCATTAGGGATGGCAATGGGTCGGGTTGGGTCGGGTTTTGCCAAACCCAAACTCAAACCCATGGGTTTATCTTTGAAAAAAACCCGGGGTAAAACCCACCGGGTTTGAAAAACTCAAACCCAACCCAAACCGTTGGGTATCCGCGGGTTCATGGGTACCCACGGGTTTTGTCGTAAAAAATTTACAATTACAAGTTCTTATCAAAATTAAAGTCAAATATCAATCTCTCAATATAAATTATCCATATATAAAACACCATTCTTGAAAATTCAAGCAAATCACAAATTAACTATACAAATTGTTCAACACCAATCTAGAAAATCCATGAAAATTGAAGCAAATCACAAATTATCCATAAATAACATGTTTAATTGAAAGCTTCTTTCTTTCAATTAAGTTTCTTTAGTCTCCATTCCATAACATCAACTTCATTCTACACAATTAAAAAGAAAAAATTACACATGTCTCCACAAACATAAATAAGAATAGTTGTTTAGAATATTAAATATACCAAAAAAATTAATTATATGAGTGGGCGGGTACCCACGGGCCGGGTTTACCTAAACCCAAACCCAACCCAACCCGGTGAATAGTGAACGGGTTTAAACCCAAACCCGGCCCAAAACCCGTCAACACGGATTTTACCCGCGTTGACCGGGTTGGGTCGGGTGGGTACCCGTGGGTTCGGGTTTTGTTGCCATCCCTAAACTCATACCTAAATAAAAGTTGGAATTTGGGTTTACTCATTACATGCCCATCATTCGTTCTTACACATACACATACACGTAGTTAACTGTAAAACAAATGAGAGAAAAGAAATAGGATGTCA